AGCTCCCTAAGCAACACCTCATCAACCAAATACGTATCTGATCATGTAATTGTCGCATCTGTTTGGAAATTTTGCTTACTACAGGAGTTGAATGAAGTCACAGAAAACAGTAATGTGATTTTTCTTTATAGAATTTGTAAAACTCAAGTAGGAAAACATCAATTTAAGTTACATTTGGGTATTACAATGCAAAACAAAGTATAGATCTACTAACAAAGTTGTTTCCCTGTATATTAACTGTGCTGAAGTCTTCTTACTAGACCAACTAGAATGAAAGTAAACTAGCTGTTAACCACTGTAAAGTGCTGCTAAGTATAAGTCTACTAAAAAAGTTGTTTCCCAGTATATTAACTGTGGCTGAAGTCTGCACCTTACCAGAGGAAGTAGAATGAAAGTAAAAACTAAACAAGGGGTGTTAACCACTGTACTTCTATCTCACAAATAAAAATATACTTGCATTTCAAGTTCAGTTGAAGTTTTATGTAAAGTTTTGACTGACCTGTTGTTCCATCTATTGCAAGTTTCATTGATGCTGGGGAAGGAGAAAATGTATTGTCTGCCTCCATGGTCATGTCAAATGTTTGACCTGATGTAATAAATAAAATCAGATATGCGCAATAACGGTGAGGACTGGTGTAAGAAAAAAAAAACACCATCAGTACTAGTACTGAAAGTTGAGACTTGAATCTATTTCTTCAACATCAGCAACAGCAGATAATGCCTTTACCATCCATTTCATGAATAAATATATATCTGATATTACAAACTGATTTGAAAACCCAAGAAAATTATTGTGAACCAAAGTGAACTGTTTAAATTTATCAGATTTAAACAGGATTTCAAATGATCTACCTCAACATTTCTACTTCATCCTTGGGTACAATATACCTATGCCTAAAGGTGACAAATTTATTTATTTAAAACGTTCTAACCAGTACAAAAAGGGAACCATATATTTTTTGTGTCAATAACTTTACTGAGAGCAATTGTCATTAGGTTTCAATGTTTCAGTTCTAAATCCCTTGCATGGTCTCACTTTAAAAATCTTTAAGCAATGCAGGAAATCTTGTTGCTTAGACTTTCATTTCTAAATCCTATTAAGTGTCCTTAGAGGCAGCTTTTTGATACAAAAAGGTAAACAAACATCTTAATCAATGATATGTAGTGCATGATGTAACTCAAGTAAACTGGTTTCAGGCAAAATATGACAGTTATTAGGAGAGCTAAGATGAGTTTTGGTTTCTCTATAAACCAAACTGTGGGTGTTCGTGTAAATGGTTCCGAATATCAGCCTCTGCATTTCCTCCCACAATTAAAGTACACCAGATTAATGTGAATACAAACTTTATTCATCCAAAAAGCAACAACAACAAAAACAACTAAATCAATAAAAAGAAAATGTACATTTTGTTTAACATAGAAGTTCTAAAAGGAGTAATTTAAACAGTTTGATTCATTACAATATATATGAAGATAACTAAGAGTAACTTTTTGATCATTTTAAATCAGTTTATGGTATTTAGTACGTTCAGCAAAGCTTGTATAGACTACAAAGAGATCCTTAAAGAGACACTCAAATTCGGAAAACAAAATTGTAATCCATGCATTTGTAATCACAGGAGATAAAACATAATGGATCTTCTAAATGACTTTTTTTTTACATTCAGTCTGGCTGCAGTTTACTTGTCTAAGGCTCTGACATTCAGTTGTTACTCTGTGAAAGCAAAGAGGCATTTATTAAAAACCTTTCTCAGATTGTTCTTGGTGACACTGAGATTGCTCGAAGTTTTTTCCTAGTGCTCTCCCTAGCGTCCAAACTACATTGAACGTTATACTTCCTTCACAAAAACTAACAGCTTACCAGTGTTGCAGCTGCAGTTAGAAGCACTGTAGGATCATCATATTTTGCCTGTAAATGAAAAGAAAAGCATGTTTGCATGATACATCATTTTATCATTTTAGCAGAAGGTATTTTAACAAACCTCTCAGTTGTTTAAAATAGACATTGGCATTTGTTCAACTGGAAAAATAACAGAAAAATAAGTGTTATATAAGGAGGCATTAAAACAACATGTTATTATTACTGCTACCTGGTAAAAGTGTCAAAAAAAACAAAAACTTTTTGTTGATGAGCAAGGAAATTTATTTCATTTACCTGATATTTCAGCTTTTGATCTAAAGCAGATAAATAAGAAAATAAAAAAAATAAATCCATCGTGTGTTAGATAGAATGGAGATTTCAAAAAGACACATTTTAGATACAGAAGTGGTAAAAACTATGCCCTCTAATTATTAGGATTTAATGTCTCAAAGCATATTATAAATGATACGCTCGTAGTAAAGTTATCTTTCGCAATACAGTATTGAGGATTTTAAAAGACTGTTTAAAAAATACTAATAATACTACATTTCAACACCACCCGTAGAATTTATTTGTATCACTTTAAGACCTTTTTGTTAATAGAATGCCAGAAAAAGCAAATCTTCAGGTATCTAAAGTAAAGGAGAGTTTGACAATCCTAAATTATGTTAATTTTCTAACAGTGGTGTAAAACCTGAAACTAACCTGAAAAAAAAAAATGAAAATAGAATGAAGGCAGCAAATCCCTTCAATAAGCTGAGAAGATGTCTTACCTATCGGAACATTTCTCTAAAAGAAAAAATACAAATATTAAAAATGTTAAAACATTTTGAACCTTTTTTAAGGGGAAATTTAGTAAATAAAAGTGGTTATTTTTTTTTTAAATAAAAGTAATATATCAATTTAACTTACACTAACAAAAAAGTCGTTTTAAATCAAAACAACAGCTTAAATGTCGTATTATAGTTTTTTTCTTACCCATCCTTCTTGTACAAAACCGGAGGGTGAATCCAAACAGGACTAAAGAGATAATTACAACCACTGTGATCCTCCGGATCATCAGCACTGAATGAAGAAAACAGACAAGGACAACAATTAAGCAGAATTAATAATACTAATATTGTAATCTTTGAATCTTATATTATACTATATATGTTCTGTCTATGTGTATATGAACTACATAGAGAATGTGTGGTCTATAGGTAAAATGAAAACAAAATTTCTATTCAGCATCTCTTCATCCATTCCTGCAATAAGAAGTTTCTTTTGACTAGATTTGATTATATTTTTAAGCGCCTCGGTATAAAATAAATATTTTGATGGAGATGAGAAATCTGCCTCCTGGTATGTTGAAGAAAAAGTAGTTTGCATCCAATCTTTTAAATAAACAGTGTTAGTTTTTTGGAATATATAAGAATTTTGCTATAATTTGTAGTTGCCAATCTGTTGTTACTACATTTTAACTTGACAAACCAAATCTTTTCACCGTTCTCTTCAATTTTGGATCTTAATCTGGCCAGACTGGAGTGGAGAAAAACATAGCTCGGCTTCGTATTTTGATGGCGACGGACGGTGAAGATGTACGTGGACGGTGACATGCAGAGGAGTAGCGATGGATGTGGAACAGCTCTCATTGATTAACATGACACACAAGTGCTCAGCAAAACGTACATGAGCGGGACGGAGCGCTGACGGAGTATGTGTAATCTGGGGGTCCGTCAGCATTCCGCTCCGATCCCTGTTACCAAAATCCACAACAAAAAGAAAATACTTGGGCAGAAACTGAAAATAGACTGGATGATGGTGATTTTTTTGTCATATTTAATTGAGCTTTCATTTCCGCATGTTTTGCTCTTATGAATTGAATAATAACATCGCACATGCTCTGCTCAAGCGCTAAGAAAGTCTTATATATACTTAACTTTTCTGTCAAGTATTTAATTCCACACGTCTTAATTCATAGTTTAGATGCCTTAGGTGTGAATCTATCATTTTCATAGTCATGAAAATGAAGGCAACTGTTTGAATGAGAAGGTGTGTCCAAACTTTAGTGGCTGTATTTTTTTTTTATTATTGTATTTTTTTTTTTTTTTTTTTTTATGCACAAAACTACAACAAAAATTTGACTACGTATATCAGGAAATAGCATGATTGGTTCTTAGGAGGGTGGAGACAAAGGAAAATCTGATTTTACAGAAGAAAACCTGCCAACCTACTGCCCAGCTTAGCTAAAGGGAGAATTTTACTACGGTGACAAAAACAGAAGTTGAATAAACTCTCTATGTGAACCAGAAAAGTCAGAGTTTCCCAATTCTCAGGTTTAGACAACTTTGAGTTTCCGGTAAACTTGCTTCATGAAACGGACCCCTGATCCAAACCAGCTGATGCAAACTGCATCATTTAAATACTCTGATATTTGAGCTTCTTATCTAAATACAGGGTTAAGAAGCAAAAGCAGACTGAAATGTGGATGATGGTTAAAATACCCAATAATGTTGTTCTAAGCTATTTATTTTTATAACACTGTTATATAAAAGAAGAGTAAAATACACACAACGGTCTGGATCTATTTTAGGACAAGTTTTGATTTATGAAAAACAGGGTTTTATTTTAACTGAAATACAAGCGTTTAAAATTCAGACTGGGTAAAAATAACCCCTTTTGTGATTTCAGTTGTATTTGCTGGGCTCAGCCTAGCCCTGTATTTGCTCAATAAACCAATATTAGAGTCAAGTGAATAATAACAAATTAGTGTCATCATATTATCGCCTTGTTTCACTAAACAAGTTATTTTTTTCTTAAAACACTGCTGACTGCATAACAGCATAACATCTTGATGCAGAGACAAGAGTCATTTAAACTGGGGACACAATAATCGTCCATGGCAGGTTTGCTTTCACTTAAACAGAGATAGTCTTACAGTCTGAGCACTTTTTTGCTCTGCCTCCCGCTGGCAATGAATGAACAGATAAGTGCTGCTAAGTATAAGTCTACTAACAAAGTTGTTTCCCAGTGTGGCAGTATGCCCTGGTGGGCTTTGAACGCACCACACGGGTGCCTAATTCTAATTGGTTGTGGCGCTCGCTGGTTGCCTGTGTATATAAGGGGCCCTCCCTCACCGGGTTGACATTGCATTGCTCTCCTTCCGGTTCAGACCTCTGCGTTTGTTGGTGCTGCACGCCAGGTAAGGCAGGCTTCTTCTCTCTCGAGCAAGTTTATTACTTTTGATTTATTTTCATTTTTTGTATAACAGCTGCAAATGAATGCATGCACTTAAACAATGCGCTTAACGGCATACTGATTGTGGACCAATCGTCCTTCGGACTGCCAGTACAAGCTTCCCACGCTTTCCTCCCTGTAAGAGGCACTACTTAAAGAGCTCAGTGGTAAGCACAGTGCTAGTTTTTGCATGCTTTTAGATTCTGTTTCTAATATTTATTTCTGATAGCCGCTGCTGTTTGTCCTGAGCCGACTGTTCGCCTGCGTTGTTCGCCTGTCAGCTGGGTTATCTGTCAGCTGCCTATCTGCCGTCCTGTTGCTGGCTTCATACCTGCCGCCCCGGCCGGCATAAAGCTGTGACTTCTAACACTCGTCTAGCGTGGCTGATTGGCGATCAGCTCGGACTTACTCTTTTGGTGCTGCGTGAGTGACGTCCGCCACAGCGGATCGGTTCCTCCCAGGATGGGCCTTAATTCTGGACTATACTGCTGTTAAATTGTGGACTGAACTGTATTATGGGAATTGTACTCTGAATGTTGTTTTTTTTTACAGGAACGGTCAGCTCGTGGTGTTGGTGGTGGACTTCTGGGTGGTGGTTCCTCTTCTGGTTTGGTGCATGATTTTCTTTTGCTTTGCCTAGTTCTGTTTGCTGTGTTTATTTTTTTTCTTTTTTGTACCCTACCCTGAATTTCACTCCTCACAGAGTTACGCTTGAAAAAATTTTTAAATGTGAGGTTTTAATTTAGTCTTTTTGAATTAAACTAAAAGTTGTATAATAAAAGAGTTGAATGGTGAGATTGTCTCAAGCCTTATCTGTAGCGGGTCTGTGTGCCTTAATGGTAACATTTTAAGCGGAGTCATTAAAATCTATTAAATCTTTTCTTACCTGGTGTTTCTAAATTGAAGTTACCCAAATCTTATCACACCGCTCCCGCCACATTTTGGCGTTGCTGGTAGGACGGTTTACAGTTGTGAGGCTGAGACTCTTCTCTGTTTTATTGCATTTTTGTGACAGTTGTGTGCAAGCAGTAATTTTTTTTTTTTGGTGTGTTAAGGACAAACAGCAGCGGTTCATTTGTTTTTTTTTAGCTGATCATTTGTAGTAATGGAGGAAGAGCTACTGGAATTGAAGACCCTGATTGCTCAATTAAAGGCTGACAATGAGAAGCTGCGTGCAGAGCGCTCACCTTCCACATCTAGCTCCAGTGCCGGGCCGTCTTCAGCTTCTGCACCCCCCACTGCCCAAATAATGGACAGGTTAGTGTTTGTCCCACGCGATCGTAAGTGTCCTATGTTTAGGGGACGGATGGGGATAAGTGTGAGCGAGTGGGTTGAGGAGGTGCAGGCATGTATGCGGGCACGAAATTTGTCAGCAGCAGATCAGGCCTTCTTTTTGTACGACCATTTAGAAGGAGAGGCTAGGGATGAGATCAAATATCGCTCTAGTCAGGAACGAGGGGATCCAGCTAAAATCATTTCTATCCTCAAGGAGCTTTATGGATGTAATGAGTCACATGTTGCATTACAGGAGGCCTTTTTCTCCAGAAAGCAATTGGAAGGGGAAACATTACAAGAGTTCTCCCTTGCTTTGATGAGCCTCATGGAGAAAGTAAAAACACAGGCTCCTAGGGACATGCCAGATGCTGAAGTTCTCTTGCGTGACCAGTTCATAGAATATGTCCTTGATGGTGCACTCCGTCGTGCGCTAAAACAGTTTGTTCGTCTGAAACCGGCAGCAACACTGCTTGATGTCAGAGGTGAGGCAATGAGGTGGGAATTAGAGGGTTTGCCAGCTAGTTTGAGGGGCCGGAGTAACTCTCTGCCTTCAGCGCCCAGTTTTCAGTTTGCGGTGCGTGGTGGGTCACCAGCAATTGCTAGTCCCACTGGGGGAGAGATTAATGAGATAAAAGAGCTGCTAAAACAGCAACAGGAGCAGCTTAATCAGCTTGCACAAAGCATTACTCTCCTCCAAACTGCACAAGAGCGTAGCCGCTCTCAACGTTACAGTCCTGTTATATGTCGACGATGCCAACAACCCGGACATATTGCTAGGGAGTGCAGGGCACCACCTGTGCCCTCCAATCAGCCATCAGGGCAGCGTGGGGGAAGCCAGCTTCCGGAAAACTAGCGCCCACCGTGTTGCAGAGCCACAGCTCGGGTGGGGTATCCATAGGCTCAATGACTGGGTTGTGTTCAGAAGATGCACCTAAATTAATTGCTTCTTGTCCGCATATTGAAGTGAACATGGGTGGAGTGAAGGTGCCTTGCCTAGTTGACACTGGTTCAATGGTGTCCACTATTACAGAGAGCTTCTTTATTGAATTTTTTGAGCCTTGGGGCGAAGAGCGTTTGAGAGCTTGCCACTGGCTACAGCTAAAAGCCGCCAACGGTCTCCCTATTCCTTACATCGGCTATTTGGAAGTCTCTATTGAACTGTGCGGCAAGTTGATGCCCCACTGTGGAGTGCTGGTAGTGAGAAATCCCCCAGATAGTGGTTCAGCTTCAGTACCTGGCGTGTTAGGGATGAACGTCATAAATAAGTGTTACCAAGAACTATTTGGACAGCATGGCAATGCTCTGTTTAATACTACCCCTGCTGCATCATTTCCCAAACCATTGGTTAAGGCCTTGCAGAAATGTCATGCAGCTGAAGGACAGCACACTCCTAAGGAGCCTAGTAAGGTTAGGGTGCAGGGCAGGAGGGCCTGCCGCATTCCAGGAGGTGTAATGAAGATTGTGCCGACTACCTGCTGTGAGCAATACTCAGGTACCACTGTCTTGTTCGAACCATCAGAGTCTGGCTTACCAGTTGGTTTGTTAGCATCTCCTGCTTTAGTTCAGGTTGTTCGGGGAACTGCTTATATCCCAGTGGTGAATGTGGGCGTCACTGACGTGCTGCTTTACCCTCATACCACTGTGGGATCTTTAAATAGTGTTGGCGTGGTGAGTCTCCCCGCGGGTGTAACTGAAGTCCCATTTTCTGTAAATGTGTCTTCCCAAACAGTTGCTGCTCCTGTCTTAGATGGGATCAAGACAATTGATTTATCACCTTTGCCAGAGGAGGAACAGTGTCAGGTGCGAGCCCTGTTGGGTAAATACACTTCGGTGTTTGCCACTAATGATCAGGATTTGGGTTGCACCAACCTGATCAGCCATGACATTCCCCTTCTTGATGACGCTCCCGTTCGGCAGCGTTACCGTCGGATTCCTCCATCAGAGTATGAACTTGTGAAGGAGCACATAAATCAGCTGTTGGCAGCAAATGTCATTAGGGAAAGTTCCAGCCCCTATGCATCACCAATTGTGATTGTTCGCAAAAAGGATGGTAGCATTAGGCTTTGTGTTGATTATCGTCAACTTAACATCAAGACACGAAAGGACGCTTTTCCACTCCCTCGCATTGAAGAGTCCCTTGATGCTTTGACAGGGGCCCGGTGGTTTTCCACTATGGATTTGGCCAGCGGGTATAATCAGGTTCCTGTCACAGCAAGTGATCGCCATAAAACCGCTTTTTGTACACCTTTTGGGCTTTTTGAGTGGAATCGCATGCCTTTCGGCCTATGCAATGCTCCGAGCACTTTCCAGCGCTTGATGCAGCGCATTTTTGGTGACCAGCAATGCCAATCCCTTTTGCTATATTTAGATGACATTGTTGTCTTTTCATCTTCTGTGCAGCAACATCTTGAGAGGTTGGACGTGGTGTTAGGACGGCTTCAGAAGGAGGGCCTTAAAGCTAAGCTTAGTAAGTGCCGTTTTTTCCAGCAGAAGGTGCACTACCTGGGTCATGTGATTTCTGACCAGGGAGTAGCCACTGACCCCGCTAAAATTGAGGTGGTAGCAAATTGGCCTGTGCCCACCACGGCCACTGAGTTGCGTTCCTTTTTGGGATTTGCTAGCTACTACCGTAGGTTTGTGGAAGGGTTTGCTAAGATGGCTGCCCCCTTGCATCGTAGAGCAGCGGAGCTAACGAGTAAAGAATCTAAAAAGAAGGCTGCCCGGAGTATTGTTGGAGCCTGGACTGAGGAGTGTCAACAGAGTTTTGAGGCCATTAAAACCAAGCTCACCTCTGCTCCAGTCCTTGCTTACGCAGATTTTTCCCTCCCTTTCATCCTAGAGGTGGATGCAAGCCATAGTGGTTTGGGAGCGGTCTTGTCACAAGAACAAGGGGGGAAGATAAGACCCATCGCTTTTGCTAGCCGCGGGTTAAGACCTAGTGAGCGGAATATGTCAAATTACAGCTCGATGAAACTGGAGCTGTTGGGCCTGAAATGGGCAATGACAGAAAAATTTAGAGATTATCTGTTGGGCCACAGATGTATTGTTTATACAGACAATAATCCTCTGAGCCACTTGGATTCGGCTAAGCTTGGAGCAGTGGAGCAGCGCTGGGCAGCCCAGCTTGCTTCCTTTAACTTTGAGTTAAAGCATCGACCTGCTAAATCCAATCAAAATGCTGATGCTCTGTCTCGTAGGCCGTGGCCGGCTCCATCGGAAGTGACTTCTTTGGTTTCAGGTACTCTTGTGCCTCAGCCATTACAGCTAGCTGTGCAGAGTGAGCAAACGCAAACCATCCAGTCCTCGGTAACTGTCTTTCCTGCTCTTGCCCCTGGTGATCTCTATGTCCTCCAGCAGGCTGACCCGGTCCTTCAAGAAGTTCTTGTCTTTTGGCAGAGAAAAGAGCGGCCAAATCGGACTGAGCGGCAAGGGCTTTCACAATCGGCTCTTGCATTGCTAAATCAGTGGGATCGCCTGACTGAGTTGGATGGGCTAATGTATCGGCGAGTGTTCCGTCCAGATGGTGGTGGGGAAGTGCACCAACTTCTCCTGCCAAAGTCCCTCACCAAGGATATCATGACCCAGGTCCATCAGGAACATGGGCATCAGGGAGTGGAAAGAACCTTGGCTTTGCTACGGTCTCGCTGTTATTGGCCAGGTATGTCACAGGAGGTTGCAGATTGGTGTAAAACCTGCAAGCGGTGTCAGGTTGCTAAGGATAACCAGCCACCTGCTCGTGGCTTTATGGGCCATTTGCTTGCATCAAAACCAAATGAAATTTTGGCAATCGATTTTACTTTGTTAGAGCCAACTCCATCTGGTATAGAAAATGTATTGGTGATGACTGATGTGTTTTCCAAATATACGTTGGCTGTCCCAACTAGGGATCAGCGCGCCTCCACTGTAGCGCAGGTCCTGGTCACTGAATGGTTTGCAAAATTTGGAGTACCAGCACGCATCCATTCAGACCAGGGCCGCAACTTTGAAAGCACTCTGATCCAGCAGCTGTGTGGTCTGTATGGGATTGTTAAATCTCGTACCACACCTTACCATCCAGCTGGTAATGGCCAATGTGAACGTTTTAATAGGACGCTTCACAACCTGTTGAGAACCTTGCCCACGTCCCGGAAACGAGACTGGAGCGTTTGTTTACCCCAGTTGCTTTATGCATATAATACCACCCCTCATCAATCAACTGGTGAGTCACCATTTTTCTTAATATTTGGTCAAGAACCACGTCTTCCAGTTGACTTTTTGTTGGGAAGAGTTGAAAACCCAGTTCAGGGAACTGTTCATGAGTGGGTCAAAGAACATCAGACTCGCTTGCAAATAGCATTTGAGGGTGCTAGAGAAAAGTTGAAGACTTCTGCTGGACGCAGAAAGGCTAATCATGATAGAAACATCAAAGAAGCTCCTCTTAAGGAGGGCCAGTTTGTGTTGATCCGAAACTTGGGGAGCAAAGGTCGTCAGAAATTTCAGGA